AAAAGATCTATAAAAAAGTCCGCGACAGCCTATCTTTTAAGTCAGACTTACTATAATCTATTTCCTCAAATTAACGCGGGTGAAACCGCAAGAGACTTTTAGTGGTGACATAACTGTAATAGTTAGAAATATGACATCGCGGACTTTTTGTGGATATTTATGTCCTCCATAAAACTTTAGTACATTACTTTGCTCTATTGTCAATGACTTCCGCAACGTAAGCGATATAGGGTTATTTTTGGTATTTTTCAGACCGTGGGTTACATTATCGAATTTTTCATACGGAACCCTAACTTTTTTTATAATACTCTATAGCCTATGTTCATTATGGATAATGTGGGATTGAATGTGTAAGAATTTTTCAAATTGATCCAGTAGTATTGGAGCCTATTCAATACAAATAATCAATATAATTACAGATTGCGCACTGTAAAGCTTGGTTCTCCTTCCTCACTGATGTAACGCTCGAATCTGTAACGTTATATTACTGACAAATGCTCCCAGCAAGTGAACCCCTTTAAAGAAGACTCTTTACTAATTTGAAACAAAGTGGAAAAACTACTGTTTCGGAGTCTATTCAATACAAACAAACAAACAAATCTTTCCTCTTTATAATATTAGCATAGATGTATAATTACAGGTTGCGCACTGTAATGCTCGGTTCTCTCACTCACTGATGTAACGCTCGAATCTGTAATGTTACATTACTGACAAATGCTCCCAGCAAGTGAACCCCTTTAAAGACTCTTCACTAATTTGAAACAAAGTGGATTAAAAAAATATTGATTTTAAAAATTAAGGCGTAATTCTTTAATATGGACTTGTTTCTTAAAAACAGTAATGTTCACAGACTCGAATCAAGAAATAAAAATAAACTAACTTTACCTGGCTACTGGGCTTCACAAAATTAGGAACTCACGTTAAGGTCTCTATGTCCAGGAGTCCCAAGCAATATCCAAGAGTTATCTATACTTATAATAAATCTGTAGAGAGGTCAATTCTGTACATGAAATATATTTTCAAAATAACTATCAGGGGATGATTAGTGATCGATACTGATGCCAAAAATACAATCAGTAAAATTTTTGTCTGTCTGTCTGTCTGTCTGTGTGTTTGTTCCTTATAGAAACAAAAACTACTCGAGAGATTTTAACGAAACTTGGTACAATTATTCTTCATACTCCTGGGCAGGTTATAGTATACTTTTCATCACGCTACAATCAATAGGAGCAGAGTAGTGAAGGGAAATATTGGAAAAACGGGAGAAGTTACTCTATTTTTTAAGCTTCCGTCGTGGGTGCAGCCTTAATGGTTAAAGTTACATAGAAATCATGTATGACGGAAATATTTTACATAAAATTGTCTACAAAATATCCCGCAACAACATATGTCTATCTTTTATGGTTGACTCACAATAACACGTGTAATCTATACTTATAATAAATCTGTAGAGATGTCAATTCTGTACATGAAATATATTTTTAAAATAACTATCAGGGGGTGATTAGTGATCGATACTGATGCCAAAAATGCAATCAGTAAATTTTTTGTCTGTCTGTCTGTCTGTCTGTCTGTGTGTATGTTCCTTATAGAAACAAAAACTACTCGACGGATTTTAACGAAACTTGGTACAATTATTCTTCATACTCCTGGGCAGGTTATAGTATACTTTTTATCACGCTACAATCAGTAGGAGCAGAGTAGTGAAGGGAAATGTTGGGAAAACGGGAGAAGTTACTCCATTTTTTAAGCTTCCGTCGCGTGTGCAGCCTTAATGATTAAAGTTACATAGAAATCATGTATGGCGGAAATATTCTACATAAAATTGTCTAAAAAATATCCCGCAACAGCATATGTTTATCTTTTATGGTTGACTCACAATAACACGTGTAACTCCCGATAGCTTAGCAGTTCGGAGCATTCTGATCATATTTGTTTACTCTTACGTTTATAATACTCGGTATAGAAACACCAAACTTATACATGAAATAAGCCATCGCGCCGTCGTACGTGAATACTGAATCATGCTATAAGGATTATTTTTGTGTAACGGTTGCCGCGCTCGACACGGGTCGCGGCAGCGGTAGGGTATCAAAGGTCCGAGAGCGAGCTGTCTAAATCTGTTTTCTGCGTCGCTCCCCCCCTGGGGGACGATCGCTTCCGATGAAGCCTTAGAGGCCTTACCGGCCAGAGGCAGCCCCTACGGGTATTTTTTAGTCAGTACGAGTCTGACATAACCTTGCAGCCGGCTTTGGGTATCCATGAGGATTTCTCATCTGCTCCCCCGCTTGGGAGACCGAAACCGTGCTTATCAGCGCGACTTTTAGTCTTTAAATAGTTTATTTGAATATCTTTTGTTGTTATTTTGTAAAACAGCTATTAGTTGTTTTGGTAGTGTTTAAATATTCGTTCAAATTAAAAATTATTAAGCGTAGGTACTTTTATTAATTAAAGTAGTTATAAGTATTTATTTTTAAGTGAAGGAGGTATAGGTAGATAGTATTACACAGGCGTTTCAGCTTTATTTTCATTTCTTTTTTGTTGTGAGTTGTATATATTTCTGGTTATAATTCTATAAGAATATTTTAGTTCAAATAGTCACTTAGATTTTATGTGTAAGGTAGCTAAAGTTAGGACCACGTATTAGTTGTTTTGGTACTGTTTAAATATTCGTTCAAAGTGTAATTTAATCATATAGGATGAATGTACGATGGCCCATCGAAAAGGAGTAGAAGCGGTAGACAGAACTTTAAGAGATATAAGACAAAATGATCGACCCATGGGCGGTATCACAGTTTTATTTTGTGGTGATTTCCGACAAACCTTAACGGTAATACCACGGGGAACCCGAGCTGCTGAGGTTAGGGCTTGCCTGAAAAGCTCTTATTTGTGGCGTCATATACAATCGGTGCATTTGACTATAAATATGCGAGTGAGAACTGTAGATAACCCGGATGATCGTGAATTTTCTGATATATTATTAAAGAAAATACCTTCACCAAAGATACCTATCCACTGCTACACCAAGGAAAACTTATTCTGACGCCTGAGTTATGTTGTATAGTGCAATCCCAACAACATCTTACATCGTCAGTTTACGGTGACGTAACAAATATATTAAATAAGAACAATTCTTGGCTATGCGAAAGGTCCATTTTAACTCCTCCCAATGACCAGGCATCTGAGATTAATAATAAAATACTGTCGAATATCCAGGGGGAAAGCAAAGTTTATAGTTCAATAAATAGAATGGCCGATGAACAAGAAGCCACTAATTACCCGATAGAATTTTTAAATTCTTTAAATATGCCCGTACTTCCTTCTCATGAAATTTGTTTGAAAATTGGCATTCCGATTATTCTGCTCCGAAATTTAAGACCACCACAAATTTGCAATGGAACTCGGCTTAAAGTAACCCAGTTGCAACAAAATGTAATCGAGGCTCAAATTTTAATAGGTTGCGGTGCAGGAGAAACCATCTTTATTCCCAGAATTCCCATAATACCAAATAATTTTCCATTCCAATTTAAAAGAACGCAATTCCCAGTATCGGTGTGTTATGCAATGACAATAATAAGGCTCAAGGGCAGGCCTTTCGTGTTGTTGGAGTAGATCTCGGTGTCAGTTGTTTTTCACATGGTCAGTTATGTCGGTCTTTCCCGGGTTAGCAATCCTAGAATTTTTTATGTTCACGTTCCGGACGGGTCAAATTTCAACGTTGTCTACCCGGAAGCTTTGCGCTGAAGTATTTTCATTCTATATGTACTTAAGACTCATGTGAAAGCGATCTAAACAATATTACCAATACATTAACATAATAACATACAAGGAGTTACACGCTGATGTTCTCGCACAGTGATAAAGTGATAATAATAATATTCTGCGGTTCCTTATTGCGATATTTTTAACAGTATTATATTTCCCTACTAAAATACGAAAGTTAATCTGTTTGTCACATCAAAACCACGGAACCCTGAGGAAGGACATATGCTACTTTTTTACGAAAAACGACGATAACGTGGACGAAGTCGCGGGCAAAAGCTAGTCCTTAAATATTTCTTAAAAAAGCTAAAACAAAATGTCTGTTTACGTTACAGACAAAAATGCTTGGGATTGAACTGTTCAAATCATACCAACAGGTTTTCTAAAATAAATAAATCATGAATGTATTGACGTTGTAATAACATAATGAATAGTAAATGTACTTTATTATTATTTTTGATGTTTTGGAGCATTTTTGTTTTAATTTCTACGCAGCTAAAAATATGTCCAATAACGAGTGGTAGGGAAAACTAAATTTTGGACGATTCAAAACAGTTGTACTATGCATCCCATTTGAATAAAGATATTTTATTTTGAATTTAATTTTATTCCTGTCAACTATGCAACTGGAAGTCGTGCCCGGGCAAAGCCAATACAAACGACAAGAGAATAATAGCAAAAACGTAAATACAAGTTCTTTCATTTATCATTATTAATCACCTTTGCGGCGTTATACTTGCGAGTTTATTTTAACTTTTCCTGCCGAAGAAAGTCTTGTAGCTCGTTTAATTACTACAGAGGAACTATTTGTTAAAAAAACAAATATTATGTCTTGAAAATGCCCTTCTTTTCCCCTTCCAAGATTCCTATATTTTAATAAGTTTCCCAAGCTTCTGAAAGAATGCACAATAACCCTTTTTAACAGGGCATTAAGCTCTTTTATGGTGGTGCGATTACACAAAAATTTTCAATAACTGTCTACCGCGATGAACAGCCTTTGATGCGGACAAACTGAAAATTTGTTCCTTTCGTTATATCGCGAGTGGTGGTAGCCGCTTCTGAAATAAGTAGGTTAATCCTCATATTCAGCCGGAGTGTTTACTACGCGGCGGAATTTAACTGCCCTCCTTCAATAGCGCAACTTGGATGCGAGCGACGCTTTATATTTAGGAGGGTAACATGGCTGAATACAGCCCCGCCTTCAAATAGCCACCCCCGTTTTTCATTCATTCGGTCTCGTCAGCCCGAGGCGAAAGAACGTCTCACAGCTGATCGCGCGCTCATACGTGTCAAAGATAAATAAACAATTACTTTCATTACTATCCTTAGAGTGGTTCGTGACTGGAACAGATCTGAAGCGGGAATGAGGTGAGTGATGCTGTTTTTATTGACCTGCTTTTAATCGACTTCTTGCCACGTGTTCCTATGAAATGAGCGGCTGGCTTGTTTGCAAAGTAGGGTCTGATTGTCACAGTTTTTACGGCTCTAGGTATATAGGTATGTATTTATTGTTTTTTATCTCGAGAGCAAAAGCAGTGGAATCGTCTGGAAAGTTTAAGGGTGGAATATTGTTTCTTAGTTCTCGTTGTGTGCAACAAAAGGCTACAAATCAGATCAATTATAATTAGACTTGTGATTGTGGATTGTGATAGTGAAATCAAATTTAATGCAAATTCATCAAAGTCACGTTGATGTTTTATTATTTACGACAGAAGAACAAATTATGCTTTCGGTGGGAATCGAATTTCGGGCGACACTTCGAATTTTGATCAAGATTTCATAATGTCTCTGAGCACTTAACTATCCGTCCATGGAACAAAATAACATTTCAGATGAAAAAAAAATTACGAAAGTCGGACTTGACAATAAAAGCGGCCAAGTGCGTGTTTTGCCAGCAATACCTACCTAAATCAAAGTCAAACTGCGCCTCAAACTCAAAATCAATTAGATATTGTTTTTTAAAATACGAATGATAACCGCCGATTTTTTTTATTTCATCCCAGGCGGGGACGTGAAAACCTCATGGATACCCTACAGCCGGTTATGCTGCAAGGTTATGTCAGACTCTTACTGACTAAAAGCTACGGTAGTTAGGGTCAAATAAATAAACTCAAAATTACAAACAAGAATTTTAAATAAAAAATGGTTGCCTGTAAAGTCGGTTTTACGGGCGAAGATTTTACGTGACGACGTCTTTTTCTCGGTAGAATATTTATTGATATGAATATAATTAAATTGCACAATAGGAACAAGGAATTGAATGAAAATAAGAATTGCACAAATTTTAACTATAGAAATATATTTTGTTTACTAAAACATTGTACATGTAAACTTAAACTTAACACGAGAGACTCATCGTAACGTTACCGAGCGTTACACTTTTTCATAAGTGACTCCCAGCCGCAACCTAATTTAAGACGTTGTCACGTCAAAATACTTTATTAAGTAAATTAAATAATAAATTCATACATAGACAATAAAACTTAAAAATCGAACAATGAAATAACCAAACGCTCAATAAAAGTCTTTCGAAGGTAGCTCGACAAATTAAATAAAAGTTTTATTCTGACGACGTAGCCTGTAAAGACTACGAAACGTCAATAAATAAATAAAGTTTTCGTGCATTAACCCGTAAAAACTAGTTTTATTTAATGAGTGATGTGCGTGAAAACCTAAGAAACAAATATGACTAAAAGCTTCATCTGAAGTGATCATCCCCTGGGAAGGGGATGATGCGGTATAGCCGCCGTTCTTTTTAAGTGCTTCTATACTTTTTATAAAAACGTAACGATAGCGCGACTCAGAAGCCGTTGCCGTTGGTACTCGCGGTAGCTTTGTGGAACTAATGAAATTTTATTGTGGTTTCTAAATAGTTTTTTTAAGGTTTTGTTGCAAGGCAAGGTTTTATGCAAAAAAACATACCCTGGTTACACATGCAACTAGGGTATGTTTTTTGGTATAAAAAAAAATAATCTACCGTTTTGTCGGCGTGGTTAATATACATATCTCCACAAAATTACAGCTCTCTAGTGCTAATAGTCTTCAAGCAAAACCGGGGACGTACAGACGTACATGACGAAACTATAAGGGTTCCTTGTCAGGACTACGGAACACTAAAAACACAACATAAAAGAAAAAAAATGAAGATTACTTAATAATATACGTCTTTGAAAAGTGTTAAATCTTCTGTTTGAGTCGGAATAGAAAGATATTGACGTGAATTCTCCTATGAAATCAAAAGAGAACTTAGGTATTCTTTGAAATAAATATTACCCATTTAAGGTCTCTTACGTGCTTGTTGGATGACTTATAGATATTTACTTTTCAGTCCCAGTCAGTGGAATGTCCCATTCACATTTGGCTCACGAACTTGCAGATTAGGTACTATTCAACCTGTGCGATTCAGCCATGTGGCCCAATCATAAGAATTTAGTTTTATTTCCACTGTCGGACCACTAGACAACCACTCATAATGATATCTAGTAGAAAATACTTGTGGACAATAGATCATGATGTGTATAGAAACCATTTCTAAATAACACACTATCCACCCTTGTTAATGACGGGCTTAGTACGGCTGCAATAAATACTAAAAAATGAGAAGCGGTGAAATTACAATTCAGAAACACCAATTTCCAAATTTACTGATTGAAGTATTGTTTTAAACTTTCATGGTCACTAACATTATAGTAATATAAGTTATTTACGGGATTGTCGAGTTTCTGGAATCCTGTGGTTCGTATGTGTAAAAACGGAAATAATCAAAAAAGTGTCGTGTCGCGATCCAATACTGTAAGTGTTGTGTGTCGAGAACAGTTTCCAGTGAATAGTGAGAATGAGAACAGTGGTACGGGTATCGCAAAAAAAGACTTCGTCGGAGGGTAGACCGATATGTCTGCCAATAACAGCCTACCCGCAATTACTTCAGTTACTCCGTGATCATGACGCTTGCAACAGTGCTGAAATATCGGAAACTCGCCAAAAACTCGTACATGGTAACAATCCCGTAACCAACAATACTTTTATTAAGGTAATTTTGTTTTTTTTTTTAAATATTAAGTACTTTTAAGCTTTTGTTATTTAAATAAATCTTTCAATTTATATTTTTTTTCTGTCATCAAGTAAAAAAGAAAATATATCGTCGTCACAATTAAACGTTGGAGTGAAGAATTGAATCTTACAAAAAAATAAGAATTACATATCCAATTCAGTGCAATCCTTCGGAAGAAATGCGCATACATATATACATTTCGGGGATTAATTTTTATTTATAGAGAATACATGGTATATTAATGTTAATTTTTAAATTATATAAAATTTTGAATTAGAAGCTATCGGGCGGGCCAGTTGATTTTCGCTTAATCGATTGTAAAGGCACCATGTAACTTTTTAACAGAAAAATATTTAGAAAATATTTTTTAAAAATATGTTATAATTAGTATGTAGTGAGTTATGAGTTATGATTTTTTTGTAATAAAAACTGAGCTTCGTTTTTGTAAGGTTACTAAAGTGGCGTTTAAGCAATTTTGCTCTGCCACTGTTGATATAAACAACAATGATTGGATAACAAACACTTATGTTTGTCACACAGATGTATAGTAAGCGAACCCAGGATTATTTGGAGCATAAGGCAGTACCATCCGGTTGTCAGTTACTTTAAAGTTTTTGAATTACAAACGATACTTAAAACAATCTCATTGTTAAAAATATAAATTAAAGTGATTGTTGAGAAGCTGGTACGTTTTTATCGTCTATTGTCGCGGGTCGTAATTTGAAGCCTTGTTTCTCCTTGAAAATTTGTCCTTGGCATCAAAATAAAATATCATTTGCAACGAGTTCGTGCAAAAGAATAAAAATATTTTTGAAGCATTTAATAAAAATATCATTTTTAACGAGTACTTATGTACACAGAAGGAAGGAATTAATTAATCGGTTACTAATGATCGGAGAATTGATTTTTATTTGTGTAATTAATTGGTTAATACTTAATACAATTACTGACAAATATCAGACAAATATTACCTGTGCCATGATCAGTCTGTACTACGCTAACCACCTGCGCCATCGAGCTCCTCAAGTTTTTTGTTTTAGTAGTAGTTTTGCAATTTTTTGCCACAAAGATGTATCCTCGATTATTTAGAAGCATCGCATTGTGGAAGCTGATCTGGCCGAATTTTATTTAACCTTCGTTTTTAGTATTATTGTTGCCCTATTGTTTGTTTCAATATCCATACTAATATTATAAATGCGAAAGTGTCTGTCTGTCTGTTGCCTCTTTACGCTTATACCGCTGAATCGAATTAGTTGAAATTAAGCACAGTCATAGTTTGAGTCCCTGGGAAAAGGACATAGAATTTTAGCCTAGAAATCAGCCTCTAAGGGTGTGGTGAAAGTTTGTATGGGAAACCAAAATTTTGACACAGACGAAGTGGCGGGCTACCACAAGTTTCGTTATGGTTAATGTCATAAATTAAATCATAAGAAGCAGGTTTAGTTGTCTATCTGGTGGACAAGTAACTGCTTTCAGCGTAAATGTTACATGAGTAGACTTGGAGACACTCGCTTCTATTTTTCCATTCAGTGGCTAATGTAAGCGTGATGGTTTACCTACAGTGAAAAAATACGTGTCGTGTATTAAAATAACACTGGTAGGTAACGCAACAGGAATAATAATTCCTTTTTTCCAAGTTTATGTTATGTATTCGTAAATATCGCAATGTCGCCACATCGAGTTTGAATGATTTGCTCCCAAGCGGCGGCAAGAGAAATGTCAATGCTTTGCGTTTTTTGTGACATAAATATAGACATGGTTTTTCTGAGGCAGCCGACTGTAACTGATACGACTGAATTAAAAATACGATTCCTATGTGAGACTACGGGCGTGTAAACGCATAACATGCTTTTATATATTTTTCTTGCCTAGTTATCTACTAACTTCTATATATATATAAGACTCAAAGGTGACTGACTGACTGACATAGTGATCTATCAACGCACAGCCCAAACCACTAGACGGATCGGGCAGAAATTTGGCATGCAGGTAGATGTTATGACGTAGGCATCCGCTGAGAAAGGGTTTTGATCAATTCTATCCCGAAGCGAAGCGAGGGCGGGCCACTAGTATAATATATAGGATCATCAATTTTCATCAACATCAGCCTATTTATGTCCCGACTGCTGCGGCTCACGGCCTCCCTTATTGATGGAATAGGCAGATTGGGCCATGTATGACCTGCCACGCGGGCCGCACCGCACATTGGTGGGTGTTAACGATTGCAGATGCAGCCGGGACCAACGGCTTAACGTGCCTTCCCAAGCACGGAGGAGCTCGAGATAGTAATTTTTGGTCACCCAACCAATGACCGACC